TTTGTAACGAGAAAGAATAAACTAGTTTTAGTCAAGAAGGGACTAGTATCGCTGATGTTTCTTGGAAAAAATGTCTACGGAAAATTAACAAACAAGCAGATACGAACAATATTATTGCCAAGTTAAGATAAACAAGTTATACAAATTAATTAAATTTGTTTGACACAATCAATAAGTTTTGTACACATTTTTTATAAAATCAACATCTATAAAAAACTAATGTGAAAGATTTGTATTCAAACCTTCAACTTGTTGCCTTTTGGATTCAGGACATAAAAATACATTATTCCATGTATTTCACAAGTAACATTGGGCCGAGTGGAATACAGGAATTCACAAATTGTATTGGACTGATTGGAATACAGGAATTCACCATTAGCATCGGTCTGAGTGGAATACAAGAATTCACAAGTAGCATTAAGCTGAGTGGAATACAGGAATTCACAAGTAACATCGGTCTGAGTGGAATACAGGAATTCACAAGTAACATTGGGCTGATTGGAATACAGGAATTCACAAGTAACATTGGGCTGATTGGAATACAGGAATTCACAAGTAACATTGAGCTGAGTGGAATACAGGAATTCACAAGTCACATTGGGCTGATTGGAATACAGGAATTCACATGTAACACTGAGCTGAGTGGAATACAGAAATTCACAAGTAACAATGAGCTGAGTGGAATACAGAAATTCACAAGTAAAAATGAGCTAAGTGGAATACAGGAATTCACAAGATAAAATGGGCTGAGTGGAATACAGGAATTCACAAGTAAAAATGGGTTGTGTGGAATACAGGAATTCACAAGTAACAATGAGCTGAGTGGAATACAGGAATTCACAAGTCACATTGGGCTGATTGGAATACAGGAATTCACAAGTACCATTGCGCTGAGTGGAATACAGGAATTCACAAGTAGCATTGGGCTAAGTGGAATACAGGAATTCACAAGTAAAAATGGGCTGAGTGGAATACAGGAATTCACAAGTAAAAATGGGTTGTGTGGAATACAGGAATTCACAAGTAAAAATGAGCTAAGTGGAATACGGGAATTCACAAGATAAAATGGGCTGAGTGAAATACAGGAATTCACAAGTAAAAATGGGTTGTGTGGAATACATATTTCAATTTGTGTTGTTTCGAACTTGAAATGATAAAATAAGTTTAGTTTTGTAGACAGCATGAAAAAGTTTATATGTAATTTCAAGTATAGTTGACTTCTTTCTTATATTTCTTGTACATTACAATAACCCTAAAACCACTTATATTACCACTTGAAAAGTAGTTATTAATGTCTATCAGGGTTTACCAGTACCAGTTCGACATTATTTTGATGAGTGTTTTACCATACGAAAAGTAGTTGATTACATTTAAAAAAAATGCTAAAATATGTGATTCAGATACTGTAATTCTCTACTGAGTCACATAACAGCTGTGAGCTGTAGAACTTGTATTAAAAAGTGGACTAAAAGGATTTATTTCTCTACCAAGTGATTACCGGAACATTGTATGTGTTGTTGCACCAGGCCCTCACGAGCCAGTGGGGGGACAGTTTTGTTAAAAAAAAAACTACCCCAATCCAGTATTTCTTATTTTGAACCTAAATTTTTAGACATTTTTATTGGCTAAAAAGAAGGCATTGCCCACACTCTTTGAGCATTAGGGATGCAAAAAGTGATTTGAAGGGGTAAGGTGACTGAAATCCATCAGCCCATCACTAGCTTAACGACCAATCACATGAAGCATAGAAGTCTCCAAATGGCATGCAGAGGTATTCAGGAACTGTTTAGAACCACCTTGGTAGATATTGTGCAGCAAGCCAAGTAAATATTATGCATGTAGCTGCTTTCAAAGTGTTCCAGTCTGCTCATCTTACTGCTGATTAAAGTGATGCTTCGACCTTCCTTACGGAATCACAGGTGAAATCGTTCATATCTCAGTTGAAAGCTAAACATAAAAAGGTATTAGCAGAAGCATAAAAGGTTGGCAATTGCTTAATTAATGAAGCTGAGAATGTGGCTTTATTGATATATACTGAATTTATTCCCATTGGGTAGACTTTAGTACTAGCTAGTATGGAGACTTGAGGATGCTGTATTTCACTTAAATATTTATCAATTAACAAACGAAAACTTGTCTCAAAGTTGTCTCAAAAAGATACATCCAAAACCACCTTCTTTGAGAGTTTCCAGACTGAACTTACTTTTAAAATTCAACAAATTGTATTGTAAAGACACCCTTTGGCTCCTGAGAGACGTGTTAGATAAACCTAATTTTACTCTCTCAAAGCACTAAAAACCACTGAAGTTTTTTTCAAATTGTAGGTAATGAACATTTAGTTCTTGTTAACACGAAGTCTCCAAAGATTGATTGAGTTCTTTAAGCTTCAAGTTCACATTCATGAACAAAGTTTGTTTGAATTATTAAGTTGTTGAACAATCTTAACTGTATTTCTTTTAAAAGAATGATGTGGGTAAATTGTATAAAAAGTTTGTTTTTATATATAGTTCTGCTGATAAAAAAATATTTCTGTTACATTTTGGTTCATGAATGAAATTCTGATATATGATCAATTAAATAATTGTGTATAACTGGTGTATATTTTAAGTTTTTCAATGAAGTGGTACTTCTTTGTTATGTTTAAATTATATTGAAACAATAAACTTATTGAATTTTTCTGTTATACCAAATTTTAGATTTTGTATCTTATTTAAACAGGAGCTTGAAATGAGAATAGAAACACAGAAACAAACACTTCAGGCACGAGATGAAAGTGTAAAGAAACTTATGGAAATGTTACAGAACAAAGGTGTTGGTAAGTAAGGTACATAAACTTAAAATGAAGGTAGGAAGGCACCAGACGTTGACTCATGATTCTTGATTTCCTGATTATGAATTAGCCTTTTAAGTGATCTGGTTTAGGATTCTCTCAGCTTATGTGACATTTTAGGTATTTTTAACCTAATCTACTCTCATCAGCTAACTTGTCGGAACAGGATTGTTCTGTCTGTGAATTAGTTGTCTATGTGAGATTCTACTTCCTTAAAGTATTATTAAAAACTGGAAAATATTAAGAGAGGCATAAATAATGATGACATAAAAAATAACTGTCATGTTATGTAACAACTGCATTAATTTATAGATAAATAGTAATTGTGGTTTGTTATGAATTTTGTGCTAGCTGGCCCTAATTTAGTAGGGAAAGACTAGAGGGAAGGCAGCTAGTCATCACCACCCACCGCCAACTCTTTTACCAATAAATAGTGGGATTGACCGTCATTTAATAATGCCCTCATGGCTGAAAGGGCAAGCATATTTAGTAGGATGGGGATTTGAACCCACGACTCTCACATTGCGAGTCGAGCACCCTAACCACCTGGTTAGTAATTGTGTTGTAACAACCAAATAATGATATTAATACCAGTATTAAAAAAAATTAGAGATTTATTAATCACAATACACGATTTAAAAAATATATTAAATTAATAGAAAAGTAATTCCTGGTCAGAACTATGTAAAGGAATGTAGTTCACATACAAAAAAACGTTCTTAATAATAACCTACGCAACATATTAATTACAACAATAATGATTCAGGAAAAAAAAGAACCAGAAGAAGCAAAACCTAGTGCATAAAGTTATTCATAATAAAGATATTAGATACTTCTCAAAGAAATAACATTAAATTAAAACACAAATAAAAAATCAAACAAGTAATATCTTTTAACAAATGAAATATCTTCCATGTTACAGTTTATCAAATTCCTAACCTAACAACTGTCTCTTTTGTCTGTCTAATTTCAAGTATTAAGGTTTTTTATTGTCTTGCCAGACCATGGGACTACATTTCAGATGACTAACTACTTAATATTTGTTGTATCTAATTAATCGTGAACTTAATATCCATACGTCACTGCTAAGTGGATCCTGGTGTTTATGTCTTAATACCAAAATCATTCATTTAATATATAGTGCACAGTAGGAAGTAATTTACCTGGATTTATGGTAAATGAAATTATGTAAATGAGAAACAAAATTATAATTAAGAATGAAATAGACATTTCTGCTTCACAGTGATTTTAATAAAAATTGTAGAAATGTTGAAAAGTAATATAATATTCTGCAATGCTTCTCCAAACCGATAAATAGGTATTCGCACTCAAGAGCAAGTAGTAATTAGTTAAAATAATACTTGTATGCTCGACTACACTGACTTCTCAGAGATAGAGTTAAAGGATTAAGATATTAAATTTCTCTAATGTTTCTACCTGTCTTCAACAGGTAAAATGCTAGATGAGGAAAGAATAGAGATGGAAAGACTGAAAACAAGACTTGCCGAAGAACAAACTAAATCTCGCCATTTACAAAACTTGCTGGAAAACAAAGACCGAGAGGTAGGAAAGGTAAGAAGAAACAATTGTTTACTTACTGTCTGAGTTCTTGACCTGTTACTTCAAGGTAAGGATAGGAAATAAGTGGATTTAATATAGATAAGAAAATAGGAATAGTTTGATTTTACAGAGCTCATTGATAAATAGTACATTAAAGAGTAGTTAAAAAAAGAACAGAAAAGTATGTAGAAGACAAAAGATAAGTGAACAGGTAAGTACATTAGTTCACATAGGATAAAAAGAATGAAAGCAGGAATACACATAAGGACACGGGAGTTAATTTCTGAAAATGATCGACACAGCCAATTTGTGAATTTTTACTATGCATAGCATCTCACATTGAACATTACATAAATCATGCTCATGCCATGAACAGAAATTTGTTTAATATCATCTGTATACAATAACTCTGTTTATTAAAGATTATAATTTCAATAACCTGCCTAAACTGTAATACTGTTTTCTGATTTTTTAAATTTTCATCAAATCTGTAGCAAAGAAAAAAATATTTTCCTCGTTATTCAAATTAGATTTTTCTTTCATTTCCTCATTTTTTTTTAAATTAGGTTTTCTTTCATTGATCTCATGTTCCATTTTGAATTGTTTTCAATTTTTGTTTTTTGTTGTCAAAAATTATCGTTCACTTTTTATTTCCTTCATTTTTATGTTTAAGTTTGAACGGAAATTATAAAATGAAACATTAGTGATTTAACACAAATTGCAAATTTTAGGATTAGAAATAATATCACCTGTTGTTTTGAAGGAGAAAAATTTTTAAATCTTTGAATTGAACAAATTTCTGCCACTTCAGTTTGTAATGTTATGTGAGTTTTGTGAAAATTATTTCATTCTACTAATGTACTTTAAAAAATTCCTTCAGTTTTCAAATTCTTACCATAATGCACAGGATCAAGAAAATTATAGTCCAAAGTTTAGTGAGTGCCAACAAAAAACAAGATCCACGGAATCTACAAATTACATTAGTCAAAACAACCGGATCTCAACAATGGAAGCCATCATAGAAACAAAGGTACAATTTGTGAGCTAGAAACGTCTTTAATAATTTAATGTTTTACTTTTCCTACTGTAGGGAGTAAAAACTATATATATTAAGGCAAGAAGAACATATGTTAAAGATAACATTCAACCTCTTTTTGTAACTATCAACGGCCACAGAAGGATACAGCAGATAGCATCTGAAAATATTTCATGAAGCATAACAGGAAAAACTAAATATTTAAAACTTTTTATATGAAACAGACTAGGTGTTTGTCACCACCACAATATGAGCATTATTTAAAATAATGTTCACTTCGTAGAATAATAAAGATAACTTCAAACATACTAATATTTCAGTTTTCTAGCCTAATTCACAATGGTTTTTCTTACTAGTTTCATTGTTTTAGTTGCTAGGTTCACTCAAACTCATGATTCCAAGAGTAAAGACAATCATTTTAATTCAATAAACCAGGTTCACTTAGACTTATGATTCTAAGAGTAAAGATGTACATTTTAGGTAAATAAACTTTCTTTTGCTTGTCTTGATGCTTTCTTCAGTGGTCCAGAATACAAACTGTAAAAATTCAAATGGATTCCTCAGTTAGAGAATTTCAGTATTCTATTAGGAAATATGTTTATTTCTAACCCTTAATCAAACCTGTGTTTTTATATGCTTTATTGTAGAAGTTGCTTTAAAAAAATGACCATAATGCAAGGTTAGCATGATTTTAAATAAACAGTTGTTTCTCTAATGCTTTATAATTTTTGTAAAATATTCTGATTTTAAAAGTAGGGCTAATATAACATTATTAACCTGGTTTTTATATCTGTAATTTGTCATATTGTTTTTATTTTTCATATAATTTGTTACTACAAATTGTGCATGAAATTGAGAACTACTCAAAGACAGTCCTTGAGACTTGTCACCGTTCATTTAGCTCAATTATTTTTCTTTACTGAATACTTATTGATTTGCTTGTTCTGTTGCAGTTACTTATATATATTTTGCTTATTCTCTGTCCTTCTCGTTGTTTTACTTAGCTTTTAAGTTGCATCATCACATTTAGTTCAAGGTTTCTTTATGTCCATTTTTACTGTCTGGACTATTCATACAGTAATTAACAATTAACGTTATAGCTAGTAGCTAATAAAACAAGTAACACGATACAGAGTAACTAATAAAACTAGCAACATGACACATAATAGTCAATAAAACAAGTAACATGACACATAATAGCCAATAAAACAAGTAACATGACATAGAGTAACTAATAAAACTAGTAACATGACACATAATAGCCAATAAAACAAGTAACATAACACAGAGTAACTAATAAAACTAGTAACATGACACATAATAGCCAATAAAACAAGTAACATGACACATAATAGTCAATAAAACAAGTAACATGGTACATAATAGCCAATAAAACAAGTAACATGACATACAGTAACTAATAAAACAAGTAACATGACATATAGTAACTAATAAACCAAGTAACATGACACATAATAGCCAATGAAATAAGTAACATAACATAGAGTAACTAATAAAACTAGTAACATGACAATTTAGTAGCCAATAAAACAAGTAACATGGTACATAATAGCCAATAAAACAAGTAACATGACACATAATAGCCAATAAAACAAGTAACATGGTACATAATAGCCAATAAAACAAGTAACATGACACATAATAGCCAATAAAACAAGTAACATGACATAGAGTAACTAATAAAACTAGTAACATGACACATAATAGCCAATAAAACAAGTAACATGACACATAATAGCCAATAAAACAAGTAACATGACATATAGTAGCCAATAAAATGTGTAACATGACACATAGTAACTAATAAAACTAGTAACATGACACATAATAGCCAATAAAACAAGTAACATGACACATAGTAACTAATAAAACAAGTAACATGACACATAGTAACTAATAAAACAAGTAATATGACACATAATAGCCAATAAAACAAGTAACATTACACATAGTAACTAATAAAACAAGTAACATGACACATAATAGCCAATAAAACAAGTAACATGACACAAAGTAACTAATAAAACAAGTAACATGACACATAGTAACTAATAAAACAAGTAACATGACACATAATAGCCAATAAAACAAGTAACATTACACATAGTAACTAATAAAACAAGTAACATGACACATAATAGCCAATAAAACAAATAACATGACACATAGTAACTAATAAAACAAGTAACATGACACATAATAATTTAGAAGACAAATAAAGCTGGTCAGTCACTACAGCAATGCATGTATGGACTCCAACCATAATGAACAGTATAAAAAACAACACAATTTACAAAACATCAATTTGTGTTGCTGTTCCTGCTTTGGATAGATTCTATTTTTTTATCTGGCTTTTTGTAATGTATTTTAAAACAACAGTAATGAACACTAGCTCTCAGGTTTATACTGCTAATGGGTAAGTTCAATTTTTACAAATGTAAGTATATGCATGTAATCAGGATGTCAGAAGGTAAGTTAAATCATTACAAATGTAAGTATATATATATAATTAGGATGCCAATGGGTAAGTTAAATGTTTACAAATGTAAGTATATATATATATATAATTAGGATGCCAATGGTAAGTTAAATGTTTACAAATGTAAGTATATATATATAATTAGGATGCCAATGGGTAAGTTAAATGTTTACAAATGTAAGTGTATATATATAATTAGGATGCCAACAGGTAAGTTAAATATTTAGATGTAGTCAGGATGCCAATGGGTAAGTTACATGTTTACATGTAATCAGGATGCCAGAAGGTAAGTTAAGTGTTTACAAATGTAAGTGTATATATATATAATTAGGATGCCAATGGGTAAGTTAAATGTTTACATGTAATCAGGATGCCAGAATAACTGCTTTAGAAGGGGAGATAGAACTTCTTGAACAAGAACTAGTTAACATGAATGAAGCTGGCCCAGCGAAGGAAAATATTAATTCAACAGGCCTACAGGGCAGCTACCACAGCAAGGAAAGTATTAATTCAACAGGCCTACAGGGCAGAAACCACAGCAAGGAAAGTATTAATTCAACAGGCCTACAGGGCAGAAACCACAGTAAGGAAAGTATTAATTCAACAGGCCTACAGGGCAGAAACCACAGCAAGGAAAGTATTAATTCAACAGGCCTACAGGACAGAAACCACAGCAAGGAAGATATTGAAGTTCTTCACCGGTCAGAAAAAGAGCTCAAGGGAAAAGTAAGTTTTAAGCATGAGGTTTATAAAAAGATTAGAAGTTAACAAGGTAAGAAATGCCTACAATAACAAAGGTAGATATCTTTGTTTGATGAATATAATAATAAATGTGTCATCTGTGAAAAAAGAAATACATCTAACAAAAGTTTTGGTTTATAAGCTAGAATATAACAGTATGTTTGACACGAAGGTTCTGCACAAGAATTCTTAATTACTGTAAGAAAGAATAATAATAATTAAGGTATATGGCAACTTTTCATAATATGTGTGAAAAAAGAGTGAACCCACAAATCGAAACTTCTCTAAACTTTAAGATACAGTTATAAATCTTTTATTGTCATATTTTAGTAAGATTATAGTGGATATCCCCAAAACAAACAAAAATCTCTAAATTGTCTCTTGCAAACATTACAACCTCAGTCATGTCAGCCCATACACTTCAAAGTGTGTATTTAGTCTCATACCTCAGTCAAGTCAGCTCATACACTTCAGAGTGTGTATGTAGTCTCATACCTCAGTCAAGTCAGTCCATACACTTCAAAGTGTGTATTTAGTCTCATACCTCAGTCAAGTCAGCTCATACACTTCAGAGTGTGTATGTAGTCTCATACCTCAGTCAAGTCAGTCCATACACTTCAGAGTGTGTATGTAGTCTCATACCTCAGTCAAGTCAGCTCATACACTTCAAAGTGTGTATGTAGTCTCATACCTGAGTCATGTCAGCCCATACACTTCAGAGTATGTATGTAGTCTCATACCTCAGTCATGTCAGCCCATACACTTCAGAGTGTGTATGTAGTCTCATACCTCAGTCATGTCAGCTCATACACTTCAGAGTGTGTATGTAGTCTCATACCTCAGTCATGTCAGCCCATACACTTCAGAGTGTGTATGTAGTCTCATACCTCAGTCATGTCAGCTCATACACTTCAGAGTGTGTATGTAGTCTCATACCTCAGTCATGTCAGCCCATACACTTCAGAGTGTGTAGGTAGTCT